AAATGAATTTTGATATGAAAAATAAGCCGGTACAAAATTAGAATTTGTTATTTCCCTCTCTTATAAGCATAATTTTCTTAAACTTTTAGTCCACTCTTAATAAAGGGATTATGGAACTTTTTTCTCTTTTTTTTGTGAGAAAGATTGGCCCCCAGGTAACATCTATTGCCAATCTTCCTCTTTATTTTTTTGCCTGAGGAAGATGGTCCCTGAGCTAACCTCCATGCCAATCTTCCTCTACTTTTTATGTGGGATTCCCCACAGCATGGTGTGTAGGTCTACACCTGGGATCCGAATCAGTGAACCCCAGGCCACCAAAGTACAGCATACAAACTTAACCATTACACCACCAGGCTGGCCCCAAGATTTTTCTTTGAGTGGTCTACCACAAGGGTACAGATTTTATGTTTTATCAACATAAATTTCCTGTGTTGTTTTTAACAGGTCTTTAATCATAGGTGCTAATGTTTTTTCTTACAGCTATTTAATTTTCTGCATTTGCCTAAAAGTCTTTAATTGTCACCATGGATAAACGGATGACTAAGCATTGATTCATAGAGACCTATGAAATCGTGTTGGTAAAGGTTATTGATATGTTTTAAAATTACGTAACATTCCTAAAATTCTGATGTGTCTCATCAACAGTCATAATTTAAGTTCTGCCTTTGCAAATACATTTCATCTTCAGAGAGATTCATGGAAAAGACTCCTACACTTACTCTAGAATACTGCTTTCTGATAAACTTTCAGATAATAAAACTGAACTGGGTAAGAAATTACAGGATTCTAATGAAAAACTGATGACTTCATGAAACTGCTAAAAAAAGTCAATAGTTCATTACATGGGACTAAATGAACTGATGAGGAGGAATATAATTTTATGACTTTTCATTGGCAGTATTGCTGATTTTTTAATGTTTTGCTTTTTCAGACTTAAGAAAATCTTTTCCTCCTTTCTCTTAAGGTAACTATGACTTATAGAAGTTTGGTAAATTATACTTTTGTAAGCAGAATTGAAACATTTATCTTTTTCTCCCTGCCTGATCCCTCCAGAATTTAGAAACTCTTAGTGACTTATTCAAATATTCTTATTTTCATGGCAATTTAGTTATTTGTATAAGTTCAATAAGAATCTGTTGTCCGAATAACAAGACAAAATTGGAAACACTGGTTATATTACCAAAGCATTGACTGGAATGTCATATTTGAAAGAAACATGCAGACTCAGATATGACACACAGCTAAGGAACAAAGATTGAATTTATGACGTAAAGCCACTTGGAAATATTGGCCTGATACCTTGCTTGCATAGTTCCCAGAAACCTTACCTGGTGAGTAAAGAAGGTCACTTCTCTGGCAGGCAAAGAACCTCAGGATATTTTGGGGAACGGCAAGATAAGAGAGGAATTGATCCAAATCTATAGGTATTGCAGAGAAAGTCTGATGACAAGTACTTGGCAAGGCCTGGCTTGGCCCTGAGAGCTCTTTAAGTTCAATCTGAGATTCCTTATAGAAAGTTCCAGCAAAGCAGATTTAAAAGAGTCTATATGATCAATTGCTATTTTTCCTGTACTTATGAAGATAATTGGGCCGAGCCAACCAATTACTCTTAATTTGGCTATCTTTGGTAAAAATTAGTGATTTTAGAGAGAAAAATTATGTTTCAGTAGAAGCTATAATACAGACTTGTGGATATTAGACTCTACTTTTGTAAATTGTCCTTAACATTTTTGTTTTCTCTCTGTAAACTAGCTGTTATGCCTCCTTGTTGACTTTGACCCCCAAGCCTGAAAGGACAACTGGATTATTAGAATTTCTCAGATGTTAGCAAGGGCAAGTTATCTTTCTAGAAGTTGCATATGTCATCCCAAACCTTATTCAGTGCATGACCATGAGGATGCCTTGATAATTCCAGTTTATAATGTCTAGAATAATTTTCAGGATGGTTCTCTTGGATTCCCTAAGGGATTATATCTATTTTTCAGGCACTACTAAAATTTGGGGCTCTTGCTACTTCTTATGCTTCTGGCTGGATGTCTGATGATAAAATGTGCTTTTACATGTTGTACTAAAACTATTGAACAAGGTGCAAAAATTCTAATGATGCTAAATGCAAAAAGTCACCCAGTACTTGACAGTATTTTCAATCTCAGGTTGAAAATTTTCATTCCTCAGTTTGCTTATCTTGGCCCCCTTTCAGCAGTAAGTAGCCAGAATGATTGGCCCCCTGCTTCCTGCAATAATGAGAAAGGGAAAAAAGACAGTGAGATTGAAGTCAAGTACCTGAGGGTTGCTCTAAATATTCCGTAAGATTACCTTTTCACTTTGTTATGAAAAGAAGTTAATCTTGTCAATTTGCTGTTTTCTGTTCACCCTGAGGGGTGACTTAAGGGTCTCAAGGATTAACGAGCTTGAGAGAAAGAACAGTCATTAGGTCACGCCTGAGAGAACCTACTCAACAGAATCACAGATATAAAATAATTAATACATGAAAGTAGTGAGAAATATCCTATAGAACAAAGCACATAAAGAATAATTAAAACCATCCATCTTAGTTTTTCTTTTTCTAAGTGAGTTTGTTTAAAGAAATCCTTGGCATGTGAGCCTCGGCAGGTCACAATAAATATTTACTGAGCAACACAGGCACTTCTTCCACCTCTTCCTGGATTAGATGTGTTTTTTTTTCTTTCTGCTTTATCTTCCCCAACCCCCCTGTACATACTTGTATATCTTAGTTGCAGGTCCTTCTAGTTGTGCGATGTGGGACGCCACCTCAGCGTAGCCTGAGAAGCGGTGCCATGTTCGCGCCCAGGATCCGAACCCTGGGCCGCTGCAGTGGAGCGCATGAACTTAACCACTAGGCCATGGAGCCGGCCCCCCGTTTTTTTTTTTTTGAGCATCTATTTTTCCACTAATCTTCTTTTTAAACTCTTTTCACTGAGATATAACAGTAAACTGAGATACAGTAAATGTACAGTTTGATGAAATTCTATATATCTAAACACCCATGCTACCATTATCAGACCAAGATGTATCATATTTCCAGCACCCCAGAAGGAAACCTTGTGTCCTCTCCCAGTTAATGTCCCCCACCAAAGGTAACTCCTATTCTGACCTCTATCTCTATAGACTAGTTTTTCTTGCTTTTGATCTTCAAATAAAAGAAGTCATACATCATGCACTCTTTTGTATCTGGCTTTCTTCCACGCGACATTATGTCTCTCCACTCACACTGCTCAGCTCTTATGTCTATAAGATTCAGCCATGTTGTTGTTTATATCAATAGTTTGATCTTTTTCATTGATGTATAGTATCCCATTATATGAACATATAGCCATGCACTGCATAACGATGTTTTGGTCAATGACAAAGCACATATGGCAATGGTCCCATAAGATTAGTATCATCTAGCCTAGGTGTGTCACAGGATATACTGTGTAGGTTTGTGTAAGTACACTCTATGACATTTGCACAATCACAGAATCACCTAACAAGGCAGTCCTCTTCTAGAATATATCCCCATCACTAAATGACACATGACTATATGGCAATTTATTTGCCTATTCTGTGTTGTTGGGTTTGTGAAATTGTGGGCTGTTATGGAAAAATTCACAATGAACATTGGTCTACCTGTTCTTTGGTGGATATGGCAGTCATTTACGTTGGAAGCGTATACTCAGGAGTGGGACTGTAGAGTCATAAGGCAAATGTAGGCTTAGTTTTAGTAGATACTGTCAAACAGTTTTCCAACACTGTACCAATTTAAACTTCTATCGACAATGCATAAGAGTTCCGGATGCACCACATCCTCACCACAACTGATAGTGTCAGTTTTTAAAATTTTTCACATTCTGGTGGGTGTATAGTGGCCTCTCATTGTCACCACTAGCCTTCACTAATAGGAAAAGGAAACTAACTGGCATCAAGTTCTCCAATATGTTAGTCACTTTATGGATATTCCCTCATTTTATCTTCTCATTTCACCCACCATGAAGGTAGGTATGATGCTCCCAATCCAAGGGTGAGGAAGCCAAAGCTCAGTTAGCAGGGTAGAGAGTTAAACAGGATGCTCACCCCTGACAGCGACAGCGCAGGCTGATTGCACAAGGCCTGTGGAGCTCCCTCAGGCAATTCCACCTCATCTCTTACTGCCGGGTTTCAGCATTTGTTTTGTGCCTTTGATGCCTGTCATGTCGGATTTATTCAAGCCCGAGTTGCCCTCCCTCAGTGGTAAGGATGTATTTGTCTTACGCGCCATCGTAGTAGAGAAATGTGGAACCCCCTTCTCCTCTCACTGCTTTGTCAGAAGTCAAAATCCGAAAGGAGTGTACAGTTTCCATTCCTTCACTTCTCCGGTATCTCACCAGCTTCATTTTGGTTATTTTGTCTCTTTCCAGGGGCTTGGGACTTGGTGGGAGCCTACTGGGACATGAGACAAGCCAATTATCAACATTCAACCAGATACTTCCATGCCTGGGGGAACTATGATGCTGCACAAGGGGGCCCTGGGAGTGTCTGGGCAGCTAAAGTGATCAGGTGACTGGTGTTCTGAGGAGGTCAGAGAGCTGGGAACACAGCTGTCTGTCTCCAGAGTCAGGAGGGCTGTGGTCCCACCTCCTCCTGCCCCTGCTCCTGGGGTCTGGGTGGTCAGCAGAGCCAGAGCAGGGCTGGTGTGGATGTGTCTCCCCCACCCCCAAAGAGAAAGGGAAGGGTCTCTGCAGAGCTCTGTTGCAGGACACAGAAAGAACAACTCGATTCAGGCCTGTGCCCAAGGGCGTGAGTTTTAGCCCCTCCTTCTTGAGCATGGGCTCTTCCAGCCTCCTCTGAATGTCATTCCTTGGTGGAAAGGGAGAGGGAATTGGGAGGTGGAGCTGTCTAGAGCGACCCAAAAGACAATCTCCTCTCTCCTTTCCTTCCAGCAACGCCAGGGAAGATCTTCAAGGACTCTTAAACCAGCATCACTTTGGAAGCAGCAGCTGTGAATTGGAGAACTTGAATTCCAACCAGAAAGCTGGGGAATGGGGCCAGAGTGGCAATGACCCCAAGCACTTCAGACCTGCTGGCCTGCCTAAGGAATACTGAGCTCCCTGCTCCCTCTGCTTTCATGGGACTACACTGTTGGGCACACAGTTCACCCTCCAAAAGAGAGATGTAGTATCACGGAGCTTTGTGTCCCCAGGAACTGATAAAGGGCACCCAGAGGTGACCAATGTTTTTCAAATTGAATTTGTTGATGGAAACTGGAATCTTTGAGACAGACTCTGGAAGAATGCCTACCTGATGCCGTATGGAAGATAAGCAGCACTGTGGGGGATGAGCCTGTGACTATGGGGGCCCAGGGACCCCCACCAGACCTATAGCTATGCCATGTCATCACATGACCCAATGAGCTCCTCTACTCTGTAGTGGGCCCAGTTTCTCCTCCTGAGTAAGCTGAGCTGGCAAAGCATTGGCCGTCATGCTGGGCTCCTCAATGACTGGCTGCATGGCTCTGGCACAAGTCCTGGGCAGCCCCCACCCACCACTTCTTCATCATGACCAGGCCTCCCCAGTTCTTTTGTTGCTGTGCGCAGGCCTCTCTGTGTCCAGACACTTCACTGCCCAGTCAATTGTATCCTGTCCCCTCTGCCTCCAGGCCTTGTCCCCAGGGACCTCTTTCCCAATCAAGAAGGTACATTGCTTCAGGAAGCCCAATCCCAGGATCCCTATCCTGGAAACTTCTATCTGGGACTCCAGTTATTTCTTGCCAACACCACAGCCTACCCCTGACTCAACTGGTAACCGGTCCCTGCTCCTTTTACCTAAGGAATAGTTCTCATATTAGTTTCCCTTATCTTTAAACTCACTGTGTTTATTTCAAATAAAATACCACTTTCAGCTCTCGAGGGGAGGTCAGATATGTAGATAGTTACAACACAGCTTAATAGGGGCCTCCACAGAAGCACACACTGGTGGCAATCCGAACTCTGCTGGGGTGTGGGAAGCTGGTGAATTGTGATTATAGAAACTGCCATTTTTGTTCATTTCAAATGCTGAATGTGCTCTACTGTAGACGCTTTCTTCGATTCAGCCAAGGAGACAGTCTTTGCAGTTCTCAGCTGGAGAAGCTGAGGCTTAGAGGTATGTGCTTAGGACCTTGTCCAAAGTGCCGAGCCAGGATTGCAGGCTGGTGTGTCTGACCCCAGGACCTGTGACATGCTGAACAAGGCCAAGGGGATGGGCAGTGGGGACTCTCTCCTTCCCGGACCTCTAGCCCTTGGGTAAGTGGCCAGGAGAGCACTTATGCCTGGAAATGCCTGACTTGTTAAGGTAGAGAGCCCATCTCGTTCATCCTTGCAGGCGCAATGCCCAGCAGGGTCCAGGCACTCAGCAGCTGCTTCCCAATAACATACCACATTGAAAACCCTGACTTCAATCCATTTCAAACTCACTCTTGCATGTTTTTCTCTTCCTCTTAATAGTCAAAATGTTGAAAAGCTGCCTGTCCACACTTTCTGATCCCTCACTTCTGACTGAGACTTGAGCCCACTCCAGCCTGGCCTCTGTCCCCACCACTCCAGCAAAATAGCTCTTGTCACCATTGACCACTCTGTTGCCAAAACAGCTGACATATTTCTCTCCTGCTGGCAGGAGGGCTCTGAGCAATGGTCAGCACAGTGGCCCTCTGCCCCCTTCCCGGAAGCTTCTCTCTCCTGGCTTCACAATCCCACACTCTCCTTGTTTCTACTTCTATTTTTCTTTATCTCCTTAGACCTCTTCTTTCTCGTCTCCTTGAAACTCTAAAAGCTCCACAGACTTGGTTCTGGGCTCGCCCTTTTTATTTCTCTACACTCTCAACAACAAGTGTAAATAGTATCCACATGCTGATGGCTATTCAGTCATGTCTCCACCTCAGAACCTCGTTTCTGAGCTCCGTGCTTGTATATCCAACAGGCCTCTTGACATCTGTGATTGTGGCGTCCAGAGATCTCAAACTTCCCGTGTCCCGGGGAACTCTCCCATTCTCCCTTCCCTCTAGAATCTTCCTCCCCAGGCTTCTCCTGGTCAATAAACGACATGAGTACTCTCTCTCTCTTGCTCACCCCAGAAACTGGGGAACATGCTGGGCGCCTCCCTCCCTTTGCCCCACATTTAATCCACTAGCAAGTCCTGCGACTCTCCTTCCAAAGTTCATCCCTAGTCCATCAGCTTGACCTCACGCTCACCTCCTTGCTCCCTGCCGCGTCATTGCTCACCTGGGTTACTGCAATTGCCATCTGACCAGTCTCCCCACTTCCATGGTTTCCTCTATACTGAAGTTGACTACGTAATTACTCATCCAAATTAAGTCACTTTTCAGAGTGAAAAGGGGCATTATTAATAATTATGCCAAGATACCAGGAACAAACTGGGACTGTCCCAGGCAAAATAGGACATCTAGTTACCGTACCTCTCAGTCTAACGTGCAAGCTATAATCAGATCACATCTCTCCCTTGATAAAAATCCATCAAGGATTGCTATTTCCCTTAGAATAAAATCTCCATCCTTGTCTCGCCCTCCAAAGCTCAGTGTGATCTGTCCCTGGCCACCCTCCAGCATCATCTCATGCCATACCCTCCTGAGCTCCCCATTCTCCACTCCCACAAACAAGCCAAGCTTTTATTTGCCACAGGGCCTTTGCACATGACATTCCCTCTATGCAGAACACTCTTCTGCTCGCTTTTCATAGGCCTGAGCCTTTCTCAACTTGTGGGTCTCTCCTAAAATCCCTCTTTCTTGACAGAGGCCTTCCCTGATCATCTTGGTTGGCCTACCATGGGTACTCTTACTTTTTTACCAATTTTCAATATGTGAGATTCTTTTACTAATTTTTCTCTTTATTCTTCTGATTTTTGTTTGGATTTTCTTTTGGCCCATCTTCCTCCTTGTATTATAAAACCAGTGAAAAAAGAGACCATTTCTGTCTTGTTCACCCCTAAATATCCAGTACCAAGCCAGTCCCTGTCATGTAATGGGATCTCAACAAATGCTTACTGAGTGAAGAGATGAATGGTTGATTTAGTTTATTAAATTACTGATAAAAGGAAGATTTTCTTTCAGTATTGCTCAGACTAGTTATAAGGAACAGGGAGGAGCTATTGAAGAGGGAGACGCTAAAGATAAAGAAGAGACATCACAGCTGCACCAGAGTCAAGGGGAAGCAGGAGGCGGTGGGATCGAGCGGACAGGGGTGGGTAACCGCAAAGGGAGCAGAGACCTCTCGTGCTCTGAGAAAGGACAAATGGAGGAGGGAATGGGGTGGGGGTGCAGCACATTTGAGGCACAGGACCAGGCCTGCGGGGGCCCAGCTGTACCTGCTTGTGTCACCCATGATGCTCGGCTCATCTCACCCACTGTGTTTCCCTGCTTTCTTGTCTGTCTTCAGGGCAAGTGGGTGGGAAACCCAAGGACATCTGTGTGTCATCCTGTGTCCAAGTCCCCGTCAAAGCACCTCGCAGGGAGCACACGCTTGGTAAATACTGGCTGCAACGAACAAACAAAGCAGGAGAAGAGTGTTGTTCAGAAGCCGGCAGAAGTGGGAGGAGGGTTTGGGAGTCATAGAAAGTACGGATATTCGACGCAGGGTGCGACCTGCAGAGCGTGGTCATGAGTCCCTTTCAGGTGACTATGTACATGTGCACCAACATCATACTAAGATCCATCCAAAATGACATCACTTTATTTTATCATAGAAAATATTTTTCCTCTAACAATGCCTTGCACGCTCCCTCATAGAAATGAAAATTAGCAACCCAAGTGTAAATAAACTATTAGTCCTTATGGTATCTGATGAACAGCATTGGAAGAAAGCAATAAATACTTTGAATTTCCACAGCACAGTGCTGTCTCTCAGAGGGACGAGTGAGCAGAGAGCACTCTGTGAGGCTGGAGGAGCGGGAGGGACGCACCGCATTCTCTGAGTCCAGGACACCACGGACTGAAAGATGCATTATTGTTTATACACCACCAAGAAAAGCACGCTGCTGGGACAGAGATTTTAATCTTACATCACTCTTGCGAATAAACAAAAAGGAAAGAATACACAGAAGACATTTATTTAATTATTTCTAAAGCGATTACTACTATTTCATTAGCGCTGCCTGGTCAGTAGCGAATGTAAGACACGTCCTACTTCAGAAATTTATAATCAGGAAACATGTGTCTTAGAAGTGATGAGATATGATATTTAAATGTAAACCTATACAGCGTCTCTTTCTCATTGTATTTACTGAGAAGAAATAAGCTTTGAGCTCTTATTAAGCACGAAGCGAGGGCTGTGCTCCCGAGGTGACGTTCAGCTTCACACCTGCCCCTCTGACACAGAGGCCTCACAGGGAGGAGCAGGTGTGCCCTCGACTGTCCTGACAGGGGTCCGTGTGCCCAGCCCCCTCTGGGTGAGGTGGCGCCTCACCCGGCCCAGCCTCTGTCTCTCTCACCCAGCCGTCTTTCCAGTAGCCCCTCCCAGAATGACTGAGGGCCTCTCCCCTTCCCGCCCAGGGCTGCAGAGTTGTGGGACGGGAGGGGGCTCACCCATCTTCTTCCCAGCCACCCGCCATCACTGCCTCTTCAGCTCTGCTGGCCTGGGCCGCTACATCCTCTAGAAATCCCTAGAGGAGAAGCAACCAGGAAGGTCACTGGGTCCCACACACCTCAACTCTCTCAAGAACTCCCTTCCCACGCTCCCCTCTGCCCTGACGGGGGCACCAGGACGAGCCGGCAGTGCTGGCAGCTCGGCATGGGCCTAGCAGGGGACTGAGAGGAATTTTCCTTTTCTTCTTGGCACTCAGAACCTATTTGAGGAACCCACCTGTCTCCACAAATACTGTACTCCCCACAAGACTGGCAACCCCAGTGTCTCCTGAACCCCTCTCCTCAGCCTCCCCTGTGCGGACCAGGGTGGGAAGGGATGAGGAGGTGGCTGATTGTGAAGGCTGGCACTGCCACCTCTTTGCAGCCCTGGGGGCTCACAAGATCTGGCCCTGCTCCGTGGATGCTCTCTCTAGGATGTGGGGAACTCGGCGCCACTTTGTCCCCAGCTGTGGGCAACGAGAAAGAAGCTTCA